TCCCTCTATTGGTCTGTTGCTAGTTGCTGGAGATGTTGTGTTAATGTGTTAGTTTTGATTCTTCTTTTTAGATGTGCACATTTATTGCAATAAATTGTCCTTTCAGCACTGCTTTCGCTGTGTCCCAAAGATTTGGGTATGTTGTATCTTCATTCTTGTTTGTTTCTAGGAACTTTCTGAATTCATGTTTAATTTCTTCTATTATCCAGTCGCTCTTCAGCAGGGTGTTATTCAATCTCCATGTATTAAACTTTATTTACTTGGTCTTCTTATTGTTGATTTCTAATTTTATAGCATTGTGGTCTGAAAAGATGCTTTGTAGTATTTTGATGTTTGTAAATTTATGGAGGCTTGCTTTGTGACCTAACACATGGTCAATTCTGGAGAATGTTCCATGTGCACTGGAAAAGAATGTGTATTGTGCTGTTGTTGGGTTAAATGCTCTATACACATCTATGAAGTCAAGTTGGTTGATTGTGCTGTTTAGTTCCTCTGTAGCTTTCTCAAGTTTCTTTCTGGTTGTTCTATCCCTTTTCTAAAGTGATGTGTTAAAATCTCCCACTATAATTGTAGATTTATCTATTTCTTTCTTCAGTTCTAGTAGTGTTTGCTTTATATATCTTGGTGCTCTTTCATTTGGAGCGTAGATGTTAATTATGGTTATATCATCTTGCTCAAATTGTCCCTTTAATCATGAGATAGTGTCCTTCTTTATTTCTTATGGTTGTTTTTGCCTTAAAGTGTATTTTATCAGAGATTAGTATTGCCACTCATGCTTGTTTTTTTATCGCTGTTAGCTTGGTATATTTTTTTCCATCCTTTAACTTTTAGTCTGTTTTTGGCTTTGTGTGTAAGGTGTGTCTCTTGCAGGCAGCATATTGAAGGGTCTTGTTTTCTTTTCCATTCAGCCACTCTCTGTCTCTTCACTGTTACATTTAATCCATTGACATTCAGTGTAATTATTGATAGGTTTGGATTACCTGCTGTCATTATGTTAATTTATCTGTGGTGCTGTTTGTGCCTTTGTTCTGTATGCCTTCTTGTGTTGAATTCATGTTTTTTGTGATATTTCTTGTCAGTTTCTTCTTTGTTTTAATGTTTCCGTGTTCTGTTTGGATCTTCATTTTCATGGAAAGTTGTGAAGTATTAATTTTCTTTTGGGTTACCCTATAGTCTGTTAAGTTTTCCCTGCATTTAAGACAGTCTATTGTATCCTGCCATCTACTCAACCTCCTCACCACCTGGATCTCTGTTCCTATATTTTTCCCTTCTTTGACATTGTTAATATTTTGATCTTTGGTTGGCCTTACAGGTTCTCTGAATTCATTGATGCAATTTTGGTGCTATCCATCGACTGAGATCCAGGTGGTGTGGCCACATCTGTCAATCTCTGGTTGTTGTCTGTTCTTGCTGGTTTTCAATCCAAAGAATTCGCTTTAAGATATTTTGAAGCGCTGGATCCATTTTAAGAAAATCTCTTACCTTCTGTTTACCCTGGAATTTCTTGATTGCACCACTGTATTTGGTTGACAGTTTTGCTGGGTAGACGATTCTTGGTTGGCAGCTTTTTATTTTAGGGTTTTATATATGTCTCCTCATTGCCTTCTTGCCTGCATGGTTTCTTCTGACAAGTCAGAGCTTAATCTGATTTGCTTGCCTTTTTTAGGTGACACTTCTCTTTTCTTTGGCTGCTTTTAGATTCTCTCCTTGTCTTTGATTCTGAAGAGCTTGATTATGATATATCTCAGTGATTTTCTTTGGGGGTCTATCCTTCCTGGGGTGCTTTCAGCTTCTTGAATGTTTGTCTTCTCATGCTTCTAGATGTTAGGAAAATTTTCTTCCAGAAGCTCTTCAACTATCTCTTCTGTGGACTTCTGTGATTCTTTCTGTTTTGGAATGCCAATAATTCTTAAGTTGTTCCTCTTCATGTTATCCAGCATGAATCTTAGACTCTCTTCAGATTTTTTAAACCTTTTTCTGCTTGCTCTCTTATCTTAGCAGTATTGAAGATTTGTCTTCCAGCTCGCTGGTTCTGGCTTCCATCGCTTCCATTATGCTTCTTTGCTCTTTCAGTGTATTGTCCATTTCTGATATTTATTATTAATCATCTGTACTTCTTTCTGCAGGTTTTGGATTGTTTCCAATGTCATATCTATCTTGTTTGATTGCTCCTGTAGCACTTTCCTGACTTCTTCTGTATTTTCCTCCACCTCTTTTCAGAGCATTTGAATTTGTTTCCATATTATTCTTCTGAATTCCTTCTCAGGCAGATCCAGAGCCTGCTCTTTTACTGGAAAGTCTGTGTCTGCTTCCAGCTCATTTGTCTTAGTTACTTTTTTTGGTTTTGGACATGTGTTGATACCTTTAATTGTGTTTTCTTGGACATTTTCAACAGTTAAGTGAGTTTTTCATGCTTAAGTGGATGTATGTTGCTTTGTTGTTAAGCTTTCTGAGTGTCTTCTGGTGGATATGATCTGGAGATAGGCTTCCCTTTTCACGTGTAATGCCTAGCAGCTGGTTTTGGCTCTTGTCCAGATGGTGGGGTACTATAGGGTATGCTTGTAGCTTGGCTATATGGGCACAGCTGCTGTCTCTTCTTGAGTAAGGTAGGGAGAGAAAGCTCCAACCCCTGGGAGAAGAATAAGGCCAAAAGTACCAAAGACGGAAACAGCATAAAAGCAGAGACAGAAACCACCAATCAAAAACAAAACTAAAATAAAATTGTGATTGACACTATCCACTGGCCTTTGCTGTGCAAAGGGTCTTGCCTAGGTAAACTATGGGGTGTGTTCCCAAGGCCAAACATCATAAGAAGCAGCCTGCGGGTTACCTCTCTGTGCCATCAGAAAATTGTGGGTACAATGCTGGACCCTTTTGGGGGTGTGCTTCTGCCCACCTGAAGCTATCTGGGCTGTGCAGTGGGGGCACGATCGGGGATTAAGAGGAGAGATACGTGAAAAATGAAAAGTGAAAGATGAAAAATCAGTCACACCTCTCCCTTCGGACACCCCACTCCACAGCTTCTAGCACTGGGTCACTGCCTCCCCTCTGTATAGAGTTTTTGAGGGAGCAGAAAAACATCTTTCTCCTGCGGAGTGACTGGTGGGTTCAAACTGCCAACAGTGTAGTTTGTAGTCCAAAATTCAGCCTTATCATGGTCTATATTACACCATTTTTCTTTTCCTTGCCTGGGAGTCCTGGTGTGGCACTGTGGGTTAATGTGCTAGACTGCCAAATTAGTTTAAACCACAAGCTCGGCAGTTCAAGCTCACCAGCTGCTTCCTGGAACCCTTACACAGGGTTGCTATGGGTGGGAATCTATTCAATGGCACTTAGCAACAACATTTTTTACTCTGAGATCCCTGGGTAGCTCAAATGGTTTATGTTCAGCAACAAATTTAAAGGTTAATGGTTTGAACCCACCAACCTTTCCATGGGTGAAAGATGAAGCAATCTGCTGCATAAAAATGTACAGTCTCGGAAACCCTACAGAATAGTTCTATGCTGTCTTATGAGTCAGAATCAAATCGGTAACTGTGGCTTTGGGTCTGGGGCTTTGCTTCTTTCTTTTCTTCTTATGAACTGTCTTCTGTTGATTGTGTAATACCAGCAATCACTCCCTGCTGAACCCTGCTGGAGTCTTTCAACCCTGTCTTCCTCTTCTGCTGCTCCCCAGGGCCCTAGTGAAAGTTCTAGCTCACACTACAGACGAGCTATCACTGTTTCTTTGTTCTTTCTGTAACACAAAATAAAGTAGCCTTTCATAGTAACCGTAATACTAAACTATACTTTTTCATTTCTGATTTTGATTTTAAAAGTGTGTACATCAAGTGAAACGTTCTTTAATCATGCTTTCTTCTTTAAACCTAATAATTGAGATTTGTCCAAACAGGCGATGTTCCATTGTGGTCTCAACTGAAACTTTGGTAAGAGAAACACTAAAATAGATTTGAATCCAAGATTCTTTGGAGTCTTTATTATGAAACTTCTTAGTAAAGCTGTCGTAGCTCTTTAAGAAATGATTAAAAACAAGTAACAAAACCAACCTCCACAGTATAGAAAGGAAATAACTACTGCCTTTTCAGATACTAATTTTAGCTGCTCTGGCATCAAATCTGGCCAAAAGCTACAAATATTTGCAACCAACCTGCAAGAATAATTATGGTACCATGCATGGGTAGAGCCGTATCAACTACCTCTCCTTTGAAACAATTTCCTAAACTGTGTTATATGTTTATGTCTCAGAAATGCGCATTTTCTCTGGGCACTAATTTTGTTCAGAACTGCTGTTTTAATGTGGTGATACCTAAATCAGGAAGCAATTTGGAAAGCTTTGGGAGCCTGCTATTTGTCATTCCAAATGCTGAGGGGAAGCAATGAGATAGTAGGTACCCTGGAATTTGAGACTTGAGGAAGTATATGCTAAATTTCCCCATAATTTAAAAATCCTATAAAAATTCAATGATCATATATTGGATTTACTTTAAAATAAGGACACTTATTTTAAGACAAAAGGTCCCTGGTAGTGTCGTGGATTGCAACCTGGACTGCTAACCACAAGATCAGCAGTTCAAATCTACCAGTCACTCCTTGACAGAAAGATGAAGTTTTCTGCTCCTGTAAAGATTTATAGTCCCAGAAGTCCTATTCAGGGTGGCTATGATTCGAAACCTACTTGCTGGCATACAAACAACCATTTTAAGGTAAGCAGGCATGTTTTATAAAGGTGGCTTTGTTACATGATAAAGCTAGGCTGTTTTTTTTTTTTTAATGAGACTTGAGATGACTATGGAAGTTAAAATGATAAAACAACAGTCAACTCATCAAACCGTTCTATTACTGCTCAGCCTGAAGAAGGGGTCGAACATTTTAGTCGATTATAGCTAATAACCTGCTATCTCATTTACCAGCATTGTCATACAGGGAACTGCATAATGTGGTACGTTGAGAACTGGAGCACTCATCTATTTTTATTCCCCTTTCTTTCTCCTATGTGCAAGCTAAGCTCAGCACTGGCCAGAGAGAAGTAACAGTTCAGAAAGGACCACTGTTTAGAGCTGAAGGTTACTCTATCAGCATTGCCTGCAATGTAACTGGTCACAAGGGCCCTTCGGAACAGCACTTCCAGTGGTCTATTTACCTGCCCACAGCCCCACAACAAGAAGTCCAGATTGTTAGCACCAAGGATAGAAGCTTTTCCTATGCATTGTATGCAAAGCGTGTGCAAAGTGGGGAAATCTATGTGGAGAGGGTCCAGGGCAACTCAGTCTTGTTGCACATCTCAAAGCTCCGGAAGGAGGATGCTGGCGAGTATGAGTGTCACACACCGAACACAGATGGAACATACTTTGGGAGCTACAGTGCAAAGACTAATCTAACTGGTAAGCCATTTGCCCTTACCTGCTAACCAGCCCCAAAGTCGTCACCATGACAATGCCTTGCAATGTCACATGACATTGTATGTACCATTTGCTTGGGCAAAAGAGTGTATATTCCTGTGGGTATTTTGGAGATTTGTCGTAAATGGTATCTCATAGTTTCTAAAACTGTCATGTCATTTTCACCAATATTCTTTGCCGTGATCATTCAGATAATGTATAGTCTTCCAACACCTTGCCCACAGGCATCCAGATTTCGACAGTAACAATAGAGTTAGAAAAGGCTTTGAGAGTTCTCCCGACATTATTGGTCTCCCTGGGGACTGAAGTTGATCAGAGAGCTAGTATTGATATCATTAGTAATAAGTCATTAACTTGGAACTGATTATTCTCAAAGAACCATGCTCCAGCATGGGGAGAGTGCCATGTTGCTGTTGTTGTTGAGAAGTGCCCCAGGAGTTGATTTTTGTATAGGGTTTCCTAGGAGGGGCTGGTGGGTTTGACCTGCCAACCTTGTGGTTAGCAGTCCAGTGCTTATCCTACAGTGCCATGCCAGGACCCCTAGTGCCTACAAATATCATCTGTCCTTTGCCTGGAATATCTAGCATGACTTTTCAGTCTAGCAAACTCCTACATGTACTTCAATACCTAGTTCAGTTACTACCTCTTCTGTGGAAACTGTCCTGACTGCTTTGGGCAGTATTCCCACCTTTGTTTCCTCTTGATGTTCCATTAATACTGATATTATTAGTACTCACCTATCCAGTTATGTGTTAACTGGCTATTTATATATGCCTCTCTCCTGAGGACCCTGAGCTCCTTGAGAAGAGAAAACTTAACTCAGTTCTTAGTATGATAGCCAACACTGAATTGTTGTTGTTGTTGTTAGGTGCCATTGAGTCAGTACCAATTCATAGCGACCTTATGCACAACAGAATAAAACACTGCCCAATCCTGGGCCAACCTCACAATTGTTGCCACGCTTGAGCCCATTGATGCTGCCACTTTGCCAATCCATCTCCCTGAGGGTCTTCCTCTTTTTCTCTGACCCTCCACCTTACCAAACATGATATCCTTCTCCAGCAACTGTTCCCTCCTGACAATATGTCCGAAGTATGAGAGACGAAGTTTGGCCATCCTGGCCTCCAAGGAGCACTCTTCCAACACAGATCTGTTGGTTCTTTTGGCAGCCCATGGCACTTTCAATATTCTCCTCCAACACCATAACTCAAAAGTATCAATTCTTCTAGTCTTCCTTATTCACTGTCCAGCTTTCGCATGCATAGGAGGTTATTGAAAATACCATGACTTGGGTCAAGATGATATCTTTACCCTTCACTGAATAGGTACTCAATAAAAGTTTATTGACTGATTTGAAGTGTTGAAGTAACATAAACTTAGGCTCTGCCATTTCAGGGCAGAAGGAGGAGGAGGGAATAGTAGATTAGAATAGTTTCTAAACCTTTGGTAAGAATTACATTTTGGCTATGAATAATAGATCATAACATATTGTTTCATAACTTCATTTTATAAAGGAGCAGATTAAGACCCAGGAATGTAAAGTGACTTGTCCAAGTTCACATAGTCAAGTTGGGACAGATTGAGGATCAGAATCTAGGTCTTCTAGTTCCCAAGTGCCTTCCAATTTAAATACTCTGTGTCTGATGAACTAAGTTAGTTACAGTGTGTGGTAATGAAGCAAAGACAGGGTCAATACATCAGTGAGCCATTAGTTTTACACCTGGTGTGGTGCTGTGGGTTAATGCGCCAGACTGTAAAGCCATTTGAACTGCAAGGTCGGTGGTTCAAACTCACCAGCTGCTCCTTGGAAACCCTATACAGGATCACTATGGGTCAGAATCGACTCAACGGCACTGAACAACAACAACAACATAGACAATTAGATGCCAGTGTTTCTACTGATAATCAGAAAAGCATCTGGTTAATGGAAATCCAACTGGAGAAGTACATATTTTAGGTCATATACTTACATAGGTCAGGGCACTGTCTTTACCTGAGGAGAAGAAGCTTGTCGGATAAGTATTGTGCAGGTCAAATTATCATCTTTCCTTTGCTTCCAGTTATTCCAGATACTCTCTCTGCCACCATGAAGCCCCAGGTTCTGAATAAGGATGAAGGTGAGCCATTAAAACTTACCTGCGAAGCATTCAAAGACACAGCTCAACATACTCACCTCTCTGTCACCTGGTACATGATACAGGAAGGAGGAAGAAGCCAAGCCACCAAGATTATTAGCCTCTCCAAAGATTTCATGCTACTCCCTGGGCCCTCTTACACAGAGAGGTTTGCAGCAGGTGATGTGCAGCTCGATAGACTTGGGGTCACTAATTTCAGACTGTCCATAGGGAGTTTGCAGCCCTCAGACCAAGGCCAGCTGTTCTGTGAAGCAATTGAATGGATTCAGGATCCAGATGAAACCTGGACTTTTATCACTAAAAAGCAGACAGATCAAACAACGCTGAAGGTCCAGTCTGAAGGTAATTATTTTCTTAGGAAATTCATGAATACACTGCTACCAGGTATTTATAGAGTCCTGGTATGATGCTGTGAGTTAATGTGCTGGACTGCAAAGTCACTTTGAACTGCTAGGTCGGTGGTTCAAGCTCACCAGCTGCTCCTCAGAAACCCTATACAGGGTCACCATGGGTTGGAATCGACTCGATTGCACTTAAAAACAACAACAATGAGGTATTTATGGGCTATCAATTGATTTTTTCTAATCTTTAAAAAAAATGTTCTAGAAGATTTAAGCAAGTTTTGTTTCTGCCATTTAAGACATATTAACTAAGAAAAAGGGACTTTGAATTTTGACTCTGTCCATGAGAGGTTTTATATGGAATATTCTTGTTGTTTCTAGTTGATCTTGAGTCAGATCCACCTCATAGTGATCCCATGCACAACAGAACGAAGCATTCCTGGTACTGGGCATCTTCCTGATTGTTGGTATGCTCAAGTCCCTGTTAAAACCACTGGGTACTTTAATGCCTTCCAACCAGAGGGTTCCTCTCCCAGCATTCTACTAAAAAGATTCTATTATGCTCCATAGGATATTTCATTAACTGATTTTCAGAAGTAGATCACTAGGCAGAAGAGACAGATATTCCTTACAGAAGAAATCTATATAATCTATATAGATAACTTCTTTACCAAGAGGTGGTGGTAGTTACATGCCATAAAGTCGATTCTGACTCACAACGACCCTGTATAGGATTTCCAAGGCTGTAAATCTTTATGGGAGCAGAAAACCTCATCTTTCTCCTGAGGAATGGCTAGTAGTTTCGAACTGCTGACCTTGAGGTTAGCAGCCCAACTCGTTACCACTACACTACCAGAAGTCAGATCTATTAAATGGTTAGACTTATCCTACAAGCCAGCATGGATACAAGTTTTGTTACGATTCTGACCAGGCACTCTGTAAGTGCTTTATCCATATTGTCTGATACAGTCCTAAAAGCCACCCTTGAGAGACAATTAGCCAACTCCTTTACTACTTGAAATAAGAAGCCTGAGCTTCAGACACACTAGATTCTCTGCCTAAGGTCAGAGCTGACATTCCAAAGTCCAATCTATCTCTCTCCAAAACCCACTCATCACAGAGACACTTTGGCATCTTAGAAAAGCTCAAGTTTTTAGCATGAAGTCTTGTCTTTTTCCATGCTGGAATTTTCTCCCACCTGCCAATTTTTCCAACTTGTAATGATGTCACACTTTACAATTCATTGGCATTTTCATCAAAACAAGCAGAAAAATCTCCGTTTTTAATTCCTGGTGTCTCTACTTATGCTTTAAGGAGTTCTGGTAGCATAGTGGTTACGAATCGGCTGCTAACCTCAGGTCAGCAGTTTGAAAGATGAGTCTTTCTGCTCCTGTAAAGATTTACAGCCTCAGAAACCCTATGCAGGGTCACTATGAGTCAGAACTGACTCCACGGCACATAACTACCACCACTTAGGCTTTGATCCAACAAGTATGATTGTTAAAAGCATACAAGTGGTATATCATGGAAGTTTTCTTTCCTTTTAGAGATTATTTTGTTCCATTAAAAATTGTCCTGTTGGCCTCAAGTGGCCAAGTTATTCTCAGTGAATCCTATGGAGACACATTAATATGCCTTTAAATTTTTTTCTTAAGATATGTTTTTATTAGTTCATATTTCATACACAGGTAGTTTCCAACTTAAAACATATCCAAGTTACAACAAACCATACTTATTATCATTAGTAATATGCACTACATCAATACTGCAGCATATGATTTGCTGATGGTATCATTCTCAAATGTTCACTCACAGATGTTCATGTTAAAGATTTACTGTTCAAAGCATTGCTATGTCTTTAAATGAAAACTAAAAAATGAAATGAGGTATTTGATTTACATCAGAACTGACTTAAGTCAGAAAGAATCCCTTCATATGTTGGGGAATACCTGTATATTATTTTGTATAAACACTCACCAATAATTTTAAGATTTTGACAAAAGCAGCAAATTAACTCGCAAGATAAAAATCAATCACTCAAATAATTTAAAAAAAAATTCAACTACTTTTTAATTTAGCAAATTAACTCATGAGATAAAAATCAATCACTCAAATAATAAAAAACAAGTCAACTACTTCTTTATAGGAAAAAAAACACCACATTTTTAGTGATTTCTTTCTGTTTTTAACTAATTGATTTGTTGTTATATCAACAGTCAAACAGACTTGAGCTGTTTGATTAACATAACGTTATGAAAATGTGTATGTCTCTGTTCCCCAGACAGGGCTCAAGTATCATCTACTTTGAATATCACTACATTGTTATCCCAAGAAAAATTCAAAGCTATTAATCCACAGTAGACATGCTGGTGGTGCTGGAGGATGAGCAGTGGGCTGTGAGTCATAGAGTCTGCAGTAATCCACCAGATGCTATGTAGGAGTAAGATGTGGTTTTCTGCTCCCATAAAGATTGACAGCCTTGAAAACTCTATATAGAGAAGCTTTATATTGGGGTTGACTCAATGGTAGAAGGTTTTTTTTTTTTAGATCATCATTACTATCCAACTATTAGGATTATTATCCAATTTTACCCATGCATACTCTTTTTCACTTCATACTATGAGTACCTGTGCTTTTTTTCTTCTGAAAGACCTTGGTGTCATTCATTTTAAAAGTACATTCCAATTCAACTTCCAAGACCGTGCTTGCCAGAAATAGCTCATTTACAATCTGAGAAAAACAGTCAGAAATAAAATGTAGGGATACAGCTTTGAAGATATCTTAGCAGTTGATTCTTTCTGGTATATATATTTTTTATTTTGCAACTTCCTTCCTGCAACAACATTTATCCTACTTCCTCCTGTGGCTCCCCATTTACATCTTATATTTCACAAATGAACAAGGCAAAAGTATTTGATGTACACTTATAAAATAGAAACATATATTAACTTAAATGTCCAAAGGGCATATTCTGCCAGCCAGTCTCCTGTCCGCAGGCATACAGCCTTGCCCAATCCGTGGGCCTAGAGCCCGCAGCTGCTGTGTCTCTCCATGCCACTGCCTCTGCCACCATCTCTGCTATTGCTGCTTTTCTAGGTAGGGATCAAACACTCCACTCATGCTCTTCCTTCTTGATGGTTCTGGGATCATATGTTCCTGAAATGAAAGATTACCTACTCCCTCCTTTTGGTTGTACATCTTCTGCAATTACAGTTGTGACCATCGCAATTAATCCTGCTAATAACTATTCACAATTGAGTCATAAAATCCTATCACCATCGCCCTTTCACCAGATCCATCTGGGAACGAGGGAAACTATTTGGTGGGGATTCTACCTTACCCACCTCATTCTGCAACAAATCATACTCATGAAAGCTTATAAACCAGCCACTTCATACTTTTGTAGCCTCTTCCATTTTTGATAGTCAGTATTTAACTTTCTCATCCCTCTCAACCCATTACACTGAGGAAACAAGGTTGTTCCTTGATATGGAGAATCCTTCCATTCCGGTTGGGATTTTGAGTCATTGCATTCAAAAGCAAAAGTCTAGTTCGTCAAATTATAGCAATTTGCACTTGTTCACATTATCAGACATCTTTATCTTCCTTGATTCAAGTTCTGGTCAACTAGCCATTCAGGCTAGGTCAAATAGGTACTAGCTGCAAGTTTGGGAGTTCATTCACACCTCACTGTACTCCAGACCAGCTGGCTGCTTAACAGTCAGCCCTAGCCCCCAGGGGCTAGCTAATGCCCATGGGCTCAGGAGTTCACACATCTTCCTAAACTTCATACTAGCCAGCCCTTACTCTTCTTTCTCTCATCTCAAGGTCAACAGGTGCCAATGGAACATGGTCAAGCTCAGTCCATGTCTTTGTTGCTGTGTTTCTCTTACTTCCATTCACAAGTAGACCCAGGTGGTCACCAGCAAGCAAACTATATGGCTCATGTTCCCTTTGAGTTTCAGTCCTAGAAGGGGGTTTTTCCTAATGGGCTGACTTTTCTTGCATTAATTCCTCCAAAGCAAACAGCTTGCTTGTGATTCGAACAACCATACAGTCCACTTTTTTTTTTTTTTTTTCTGCAGGTCTGTCTTTCAATAAGAATCTTCTGTTCTCCCAACAGTTTTGGGTTGGCCTCATGCCTTTCAAGTGGGAATATCCCAACTCAGAAGATTCTAGGTGGGGCTCAGAAATCTACCTAAGGCCCATACTCTACAAAGACTTAACAGAAGAAGCCTATCTCCCTGGGAAAATTCTATTTCTCCGTTTAGAAAATCCACTCACTTATAGGCTGAAGGCAGTCTTGCAAGCTTTCTGTCATCATAATTTCCAATACTTATTTCTATCACACATAAATGTCTATTTTACAACAGTAGGCAGGGGAAACCAATATCCATACACAAGACAAGCAAACACATAAGCACTTTTACCCCCTCCTTTACTCATTCAGCCTATGTCTTAATCCATGTATCTACTCACAGAACACTGTTGTTCCAAGATTGTGTGTAAATCACTATTTACTTCTATCCCACTTAGTCCATGCTTACCTCCCTAAGACTTCCCCTATCTTAATTGTTCATCTGCCATCCTCTTTTTTCTTGTGTATTGCCCTCCCCCTCCTAGTATGTTGCCCTCCCTGTCGACAGAGCTAACGTGTCTACCCTCTAACCAGTGAATCGCTCTCCCCTCCCTCCCACCCCTGGTAACCATCACAGGACATGTGCTTTTAACTTAGAACAATTCCACTGAGTATACTTAGCCAAAGAAAAAATGTTCAAGAAATCATAGTGTAAGCAAATCAATACAGTTTTAAGTATTTTATATTTTTTAAAATTAACAGCTGTGTATCATGATATACTTCATACACACTTTACTATACTTAAACATGGATACAAGGGGGCTTTTAAAAGTTCATGGGAAAATTCCATTATCTTTTCATTTTATTTTTCCATGAACTTTTTAAGCCCCCTCATTTTGCTTAATAGGGTTGCATTCAGAAAACAATGTATTCTGTCCTATCTGGATCATATAACAGAAAAGAGGATGATCCCCCACATGATGGATTAACACAGTAGCACCAACAATGGGCTCAAACATAACAATTGTGAGAATGGTGCAAAACTGGGCTGTGTTTTGTTCTGGTGTGCATAAAGCCATTATGAATTGGAATTTACTTGCTGGTACCTAATAATAACAATGGTGTCCTGCTATAGTGTTGTAAGGTAAACACTAGACTGGTAACTGAAAGGTCGGTGGTTCAAACCCATTAGCCGCTCCTCAGAAACCCTATACAGTGAATTGGAATTGACTCAACTGCACTTAATAATAACAACAGAGCAACAGGAATAACCAGGGGCATTTTCAACTCTACATTTTTTGGTTAACCTGCCACAGCAGAACTGAATTCCATTCCCACATGTGTCACTACAGGAGGTGTCATTTCTCTCTATTAATGGCCTCTTTAAGTACCTGCCTTGCTTTTGTTTCCCAGAGAGAGATTTTCGAGTCAATATGACAGCTGAAAGCACGTATGCTGAAGGGAAGCCCTTGGAATTGGTCTGCATGGTGCTGGGCAGCAGCCGGGACTCCCGGCTTCAGGGCGTTTGGTTCTTCAATGACAAGGAAATTGGCAGCATTGATGCTGATGGGGTACTGAACCTGAAGAAAGACTACAAAGAAAGAGCGAGTCAAGGACAGCTACATGTTTCAAAGTTAAGCCCCAAGACTTTCTCTTTCAAGATGTTCTCTGTAGGCCCAGAGGATGAAGGTGTCTATAGATGTGTAGTGGCGGAGGTGGCGAGAACCCAGGGGGGCTCCTGGCAGGTTCTGCAGAGTAAGCCATCACCAGACAACCATGTACACCTGAGGATGCCCACAGGTATGTGAAGCCAGAACCCCTCCTCTGTCAGTACAGAATGCCTTCCTGGTCCCAGTCCTCCTGCACTGTTCAGTGCCCATCAGATCACATCTGAGACAAAGTGGAGTAAAGGGAAAGTACACAAGCTCATAGTCTGGGGGCCCGAGTCCTATTCCTAGGCCATTAACCAATCATGATCAGACACACTCTCGTTCTTGGTTTCCTGGTCTATAAAACAGTGAGCACACAATTAGATGGTCCTAAGACCCTACTTGAAGGATCCCCGATGGCCCTGTGGGTTAGGCATTGGGCTTCTAATCGCAAGGTTGGTGGTTCAGACCTTCCAGGGAGAAAGATGAGGCTGTCTTCGCCTGTAAAGACTTATAGTATCAGAAGTCATATATAGGGTTGCTATGAGTTGGAAAGGACTCAATGGCAGTAAGTTTGGTTTGGGTTTGGGGTATGTTCCTTCTTGTCTTATTCTATGTATTTGTTGTTAGCTTTCAATTTTATACATTGAGTTTTTCTTAAAGCAGAAAACAATTTATTAATGAAACTGTGTATATATATGTGGTTATATTAAGTGAAAGAACTATATTTATCCTAATTCATGGGAAATAAACACCCACATTACTGATTCAAGACTAGGCTGGCATTTTTAATTGCCTTATTTTGCTAAACCCCTATTATTTTGATCTAACATGGAGAATGGTGGTGATGGTGGTGGTTATGTGCCGTGGAGTTGGTTCCGACTCATAGTGACCCTGTACAGGGTTTCTGAGGCTGTAAATCTTTACGGGAGCAGAAAGCCTCATCTTTCTTCCACAGAACAGCTGGTAGTTTCAAACTGCTGACCCTGAGGTTAGCAGCCCAATTCGTAACCACTACACTACCAAAATTCAGCATCAAAGTATGACTCAGAGTAAGAAATTAAGAGGTAAATAAATGATAACGAGAAAACTCTATTCTCTGCACTTTGAGACGACCATCCAAAATGGTTCCAAGTTTCCATTTGCTACGAAAGTAGGAAAGTCCCTAGTCTCTCCATTAGTTGATTAAGGTCGGTTGACCCTAAATACATTTGAATAATAGTGCTTTTTGTGTGGGCAGAAAACAAATCAACCTACAACTAACACTTAGGATTCTTTGGGCTGGGTATTAAATTAAGTCTCTAAAGATTTTTTTTTCCCAAAAAAGAAAAAGAAAAAAACTTAATTAAAATTTTAAGAATTCCATGTTGTGTTTGCTTACTGGATGCATCTCTGAATCACTTTGCCTTTCATGTTCTTCTTTGTCACACCACTTGCTAGAAATGGACTGGCCTGGAGTAGCAGACCAAGAAGTGTGTTGGTGATAGCTTTTACATTAAGCATTAGTTCGCCTTTCTAGGATTCAGGAAAAACTATGTGGGTAGGTTTACACATTCACACAGAGCTACGTTTCAAGTTGATGCATCTCAATCATACCTGGAACAGATCTGCAAAGTTTTGTAAACACAAATCCTAGGAATTTATGCCAAAGAGTGCTTTCCATGCACTAGGGTCATTCAAAGTCCAAAATAGTTCTTTGTGTAGGCTAGAGTCTAAACTCAGTCTGAGATAGATATAAAAGCAGGGAGAGTGACTAGCAAATTTACTGTGGATCCTGTTTAGGATTTGATTTAGAAAGCCAAACCATGGCTTGGAGTAAGAGCAGAGTTTTATCATTCTACTATTCTATGAATATTTCAAGAGAAGCTGGTACTCACTACCACTGTGAATGTGTTATTTCCACACACTTGGTCAGTTTATTGCTTCTTACCAAGAGACAGTAATGACCATAATGAACTAAGAAAAACTCATTTTTAAAAATGATGATGATAATGGTTATGTTAATGTGGTGAGATTATGAGTCATATTTTCCCTCTAATGTCTAAACTTCAGTTATATGAGTTTCTTTTTAACTTATTTTTTGAAGTACAATCATACTTTTACTATCTAAAAATTAGAAACCAATTTTGTGAATTTTAAAACCTATTTAAGAACATGAAGCTTCATTGTGCCTTTGTAATTTATATACTGTGGACACTTAGTGTGGCACTGTAAGATCAGCACTGGACTGCGATCCACAAGGTCAGCAGTTCAAATCCACCAGCTGCTCCTCGGAAACCCTATACAAGGTCATTATGAATCAGAACTGATTCTACAGCACTTAACAACAACAATATATAAATAATTAAAAACTGAACTCCTTCCTTAGCAGGGAGGAACAATTGGCAAATTCATTTAGAGCTGATTTAGATTTCTAATGCCCATTTTATTTTTCTAGGTTGGCTTTGAACTGCCTCTGCTTTTGCTACTGCATATCATTCAACAACACTGGGCCTCTGGTATGGCACTGTAGAATAAGCACTGAACTATTAACTGAGAGGTTGGCAGTTCAAACCCACTAGCTGCACCTCAGAAACCCTATACAGGGTTGCTATGAGTCGGAATGAACTCAATGTCATTTAAATACAGCAAAATCATTCAATACTAATGCTAATAGTTAACCTTTACTGACTGTTGTTGAGTGCTTTCCAGTTGGTTCTGACTCATAGCGACTCAGTGTAGGTCTTTTGAGGAGCAGCTGGTGAGTTTGAGCCACTGACCTTGTGATTCAATGGTTCAAATCATTCTTGCAGTTCAGTACTTATCCTACAGTGCAACACCAGGACTCCGTACATATCTTGTTGTTAGGTGCCATGACTCATAGTGACCCTGTGCACAACAGAATGAAACACTGTCCAGTCCTGGTGTTATGTTTGAGCCCATTCTTGCTGCCATTGTGCCAGATCCATGTCACTGGGGGTCTTCCTCTTTCTCGCTGACCCTTCATTTTACCAAACATGATATCTTTCTCCAGGGACTGGCCCATCCTGATAATATGGCTGCAGTATGAGAGACGAAGTCTAGCCATCCTGGTTTCCAGGGAGCATATATAATCTTTAATTGTCCAACATACATGTATATATGCATATATGTATGTATATAACCATATATATATGGTTTTTTTAAGAAGCTCTGGTAGCATAGTTAATGTGTAAACCTACCCACATAGTAGCATGGTTAAGAGTCGGACTGCCAACTTCAAGGTAACAGTTCAAAACTACCAGCAGTTCTGTGGGAGAAAAATGAGGCATTCTGCTCCAGTAAAGATTTACAGCCTCGGAAACCCTGTGCATGGTCACTATGAGTCGGAACCAATTCCATGGTACTTAACAACAACAACAACAAACAAACAAACAAAC